AAAAAAAAAAAAAAAAAAGAATGTCACCCCAAATTTTGTTGTGCGTGGGTGGGGGCCCTCAAGCCAGCCAGTTGTTTCAGAGGGCTTGTCACCTCCTCGGAAGCCACTCTTCAGTACCAGACACCATAGGGGGCATGTGTTTTTCTTGCTATCTAGCATTAACACCTCTCGCTGGCCTCTCTGTAACAGTCTTCTTCTGGGCTTTTGTCTTCAGCCACTGGGACAGTACTCATATTTTCTTTTCTTCTTCAGCTATAATTCCCTTCTAATTCTTCCTGCAGGACTTCCCGGCCCTTGAATTCCTCTACCTCAGGCCATGTCCCCATCATGCAGATAATGGAAGGGCAGGTGCTATTTCCAGCCATGAGCTCAGGGCTGCTCATCTGCTGAAATATTTCATAAGGTAGGAGTAGGGATCTAGTTTGTCCTTTCTCATATGAACAACCAGTTGTCCATCTATGCCCCTGGTTCCGTATACCACCTCTGCCATTTATCAAGTAGCCCACCTCCCATGCCCATACTTTATTTTGGATGCTTATCTCCAGAACAGGGTCAAGAGTAGATTGAACATAATAGATGGAATTCCCCTCAGTATCCAGTCACCTCTCACAGGATGGAGACTGTAGGAGACTTACCTGCAACAGAAAATGCAAAGAGACAGGTGACATTGCCAGCACACCAGGGTCTTTCCCTCCAGGGGGGCTAAGCATACCTCTCTGGAATAGAAGGGAGGAAAACACAGGCCTGAATGGGTCTTCTACATTCAATATGGGAATGGCAGAAAGACCAGCCATTCCAACACCCGGGACAGCAGTAGCTTGGCCCTTCATCAGATTCAAAGTCAACTGGGTGAAGATCCCTCTCCTCCTCTGAAAGAAATAAGACTAGTAAATTTTCCCCCTTTATTCACAGGGGATACAATCCAACCTCCCCACCCCTCGAGGATGCATGAAACTGAACCCTAAGTATACTATATTTTTTCCTCTTTAGACATACCTATGATAGTTTATAAATTAGGCACAATAAGAGATTGATAATTAAAATAATTGCAATAATATACCAGAATCAAAATTAATGTCAATGTATTCTCTCTCAAACTATGTTTTTGTACTGTTCTCATCTATGTTTTCAGACCATGGCTGACCACAGGTAACTGAAACAGTGGGAAGTGAAACCATGGATAAGGCAGAACTACTGTATCTTAGAACTAGCTTCAAAGGGGGCTTAACTCATCTCATCTCTACAAGGAAGTCCTTTTCTCTGTTTACTGGCTGCGAGAGTTCAAGGGAACAAATGCCAGAAATTGACTGAGACAGAGAAACCCAGGATCAGGCAAAGATGACTCAACCTTTAGCACCAGTAGCAGGGCCACCACCTGTGGGTGATGTGTAGGCCTGCTAGAATGGTTTTAAGGTGAGGACAGCATCAGAAACTAAGAGGGAGGCAGGATGTGGTGGCTCACACCTGTAATCCTAGCACTCTGGGAAGATGAATGGGATGATCACTTGAGATCAGGAGTTTGAGAGCAGCCTGTGCAACAGGTAAGACCCTGTCTTTATTATTATTTTTAAGGAAATAAATAAAGCAACCAAGAGGGAGACTGTAGGAAAGAGGGAATGAGAGAGTCCCTGACTCATGTTTAAGACTAAAATGGAAAGTGTTAATCCAGAACCTGTTTTAGAAAAGGGTAGAGAAGAGAGGGATGTTAACAATAGCCTGTGAGCTAGAGATGGCTCTGACAACAAAACACTCTCCCATCTCCTCCTGCCACAGTACTTGGGTGTTACGGACAGCACTCAGTACAGCTGGATCCCCAAGACCATTCTCTTCCTCCTCTTCTTCCTCTGGGTCTGGGGCAAGATCTGGATCCAGATCCTCCTCTCCATCTTCATTCTCTTCCTCTTCCTTCATTTGGGAGGCAGATACCAGCTCCTCCTTCGGAACCAAGGGACAGGAAGTCTTGCCTGGCTCTTGGGTTAAGTGTGGGCCTAAAGAGGAAGACAGACAGGGGCTCAGGGTGCAAGAGTTTTGTCTGGAAAGGCCACTGCTCAAAAGTGCTTCTGGTCATGAACCTTCTCCAGCACCACCTTCAAATGTGGCACCTCCTGTTCTCTAGATTCAGCTCAGCCTCCCTACCCCAGGGTCTCCCAAACCACCCTCACTAACCCAGATGGAGCCTGGCAGGTGCCAGATACCTTCACTTTCCACATCCCCTCTTCACCTGCTTTGTTTTACCCAACAGCTTTTTCTCTTGCCTCTTTTAACTGAACAAGTGCCAGCTGCCCCAACTCATTGCAATTTAATCCTACTGTGCCAGGTACTTTATGTTCATTTACCAGTTATACAAGGCCGTCCAGGGTGTTATTGATAATTTTACTACATAGGTGAGGAAAATAAGGTTCAGAAAAGTGGTCTCAGCTGCCCAGTGTGATAAAGCCAACAAGTGGAAAATTTGGAGCAACTTCCAGTGACTCTGGACACCAAGCCCATGTGTGAAGCAGACTAGCAAGGCTCCACACCCCAGGACTTTTTATCTAGACATCAGGACCCACTTAGAGATACCTTCAATGCGTTCCATCTTGGCAGGCTGGCAGGCTTCCTCCTGGGCTGCATCCTCCAGTGAGAGAGCTTTGCCAGCCTTGGGAAGGTAAACCTGAGACAGGGAAGAGACTCAGATATACCCTCCTCCTTAGACAGTAGAGATGGTATGGCAACCCCAAAACAGTCACGGTATCCTCCCAACAAGGTGGTCAGAGAACTATTGACCCAAGGTCTCAAGGAGCAAGACTCTGGGCTCTCAGACTCCATAAATACCCACCCTCTCACTTCCCCAGCCAGGCTCTAGGGGAGAATTGAGAGACAGGGATAGAAGACAGAAAGAAGACTGCCCACACAGATACCACCAGCCACAGCTTGTACTTGGTGACGTGTTGTTGCTGACACCCACTGCCTGACTGTTGTCATCCCTTTGGCTTCGGTTAGCCATGGCAGCCTGGGCCAGAGCCTGCTTGTTGCTTCTGGTTTTAAGAGTCCCAGCTCCTCCCCTGCTTACCTGTTAAAGGACCAGCATTCCCCCAACCACTGGGTCCTGGTAAAAGTATGAGAACATACTAATGATAAAGAAAACCCTTGAGTGGAAAACCCTTGGAACCCATACAAGGTTGTGAGTATAGTTTATTGGGATTGATACTTGGGGTAGGGGGCAGATATTTAAGAAGATGATCCCTGTTTTCCAGACCCTTCATAGAAACTTCGAGAAGTTTCATTTTATTTAATCCCTAGGTTTTGCTCCAAGAAAATTGGATAGGAAAAACCTGGGTAGGCTCTGAGGAGGATGCCAAGCAATCGAGTTCTTGGTGCTTTAGAGCAGTGCACTTGAAGGTCCCTCAAGGCCACCTGGTGATGTTGCCCTTTAATGGGTCACGTGAGCTTAAGTGTGCTACCTAGCTCTAACTGATGAAGGACTCCTGTGAATTAGAAGTCAGATCTTCCAGGTAAAACACTTTTGCACGAGATACATAATCTTATATCTTCTTGCCTGCTCTAATGTAAAACTGCTCCAGACTCTCAAGGGTAAAAATAAATCAACAAAAACAAAAAACAAGTACAACATTACTCTTGGCAGACAAAACCCAAGACCCTCCTGAGCCTCATTTAACCCTCAAGCAATCCTGGGTTCTGTGCCCACATCCTGTGTTCAGCTGAAACTCACATGTCTTTGTAGAACTTATGAATAAAATTAAAAACTAAGCTAATTTCTCTACATAAAAAATGCAAGTTAGGGCCCTATTGTCATTTTTATAACATCAGGATTCTTGGTGGTTTTAAAGGAAATAAAATTTGAAATAATTGTTTCAATTTTGGTGTTTCAATTCAGTCTTTATAGCATTTAAAAAAAAAAAAAAGGAAAAAAATTTTGCTGTAGCCCAGATTTAAGTAGCTGTATAGCTTTAAGTAGCTTGAAGGATACTGAAAAACTTTCCAAATATTTGAATTGCCCTTTTTGATAATGTTATACAGCTGTGTCTCTCAAGCACTTCCTAAGAACTTACTTTGGAATTAGTGAATTTCAGTGTTTCAGAAGTGAGTCATTAGGCTGTTGTAGACACTAGACTTTAGGGAGAAACATTTTTGTTTGTGCTGCATGCAGATTTTCATTATGAAGGAACTTTTTGTATTGAACTAGCACCAAAGCAGGAGGCTGAGGACTTAGTCATTAAGATCACAGCCCTAGGTTGGCTGTTTGATGTTTTAGTTAGGACTTACTGGCTTTTGTGAAGTCCCCCACGCTTGCTTGAAGTCTCATATGTCCACTGATCCCCTAAGTTTTCTAGCTTTCTTGCCATGGTTTAATGGTGCTAAGTTTAACTAAGCAAAGACCATTCTAGATTTGTAGTACAACCGTGAATAAAGCAGGTGCTCCCCTCAGCCTTTTAGTATTTTCTATAGAATAATAAGCATAGACAGGCAAATAGAATTTGGGGGGTCAGATAAAAAACACAATAGAAATGTTTACATTTGCTATATAAAATGCCCAAGAACTGACCCCTCTTTTATGGAGAATTTTTTTTTTTTTTTTGAGATTAAAAAAAAAAAAACCTGGGTTAGAATACAGTGGCATGATCATAGCTCACTGCAACCTCAAACTCCTGGGCTCAAGCAGTCCTCCAACCTCAACTTCCTGAATAGCTGGGACTATAGGCACCCCACCACCACACCCAGTTAATTTTTTCTATTTTAGAGACAATGTCTTGCTCTTGCTCAGGCTGGTCTCAAGTGATCCTGAGCTCAAGTAATCCTCCTGTCTTAGCCTCCCAGAGTGCTAGGATTACAGGTATGAGCCACTGTCTCCAGTCAAAATTTTTTTTAAAGGCAGGGTCTCACTCTGTTGCCCAGGTTGATCTCAAACTCCTGGGCTCAAGCATAAGAGCAATTTTAAAATCAGTGCTGTATCTGTGCTTTGTCCCACTTTTATTCCTAACATTATTGTCTCCTCTTTCTTTTTTTCTTCCTTCCAGAGCTTGTCTATTTTATCAATCTTTTCAAAGACTCATAAACTAAAGTTAGGGTTTCTTCAGGAAATAGTACACTCAAACAGGATAAGTTGAGTAGAATTTAATCTAGGGCTATTTATAAAGGTGTGGAAAGAATCTAGTGAAATCACATGGAATAGCAGAGTGCCTAGGGCTTGGTAATAGATGTTAGCACTTCGGGGCAAGGGCAAGAGGGTGGAACAGTCTTGGAAACCTGGAGACAGAGAAGGCAGCCTGGCTTCAGGTAAGGTCCACCTGTGTATTGTGTGAGCTCCAGTGATGGCCTTCTCCTAAATACATCCATTCCCTCTGGGATCTGCTCCCTCCTCTTGCCTCTGAAGCCTAGGGGTAGAGAAGGCTCCACCATAGTTGCCCCAAGGTGCTCCATTGTCCTTTAGGAGTTTCCTTTAACCCTTCTCAGACCTGGTAAATAGTCTCTTCAGGAAATTCTCCTCAGACACCCCACTTAAATGTGCTGTTTGTTTCCTGTTAGGACCATGACTGACACCAGCTCCAACACCAGCCTGCTGAACTGTTCTTTCCTCTGTGCTCAGCTTCCTCTCCCATCCAACCCTCAGTCCTTCTTCAGTAATTCTTAAACATAACCATTGTCCTCAAGTCTTCTTACGAATCCCATCTCTCTCTCTCTCTTTTTTGAGATAGAGTCTCACTTTGTCACCCTCAGAGAGTGCTGTGGCATCATAGTCCACGGCAATGTCAATCTCTTGGGATCAAGCAATTCCCTTGCCTCAGCCTCCCAAGTAGCTGGGACTACAGGTGCCTGCCATAATGCCCAGCTATTTTTGGAGGTGAGGTCTCATTCTTCCTCAGGCTGGTCTCGAAACTGTGCATATCCCATCTCTTTATTCTCAGGAGTCAATTTACCTCCTATGCTATGGAGAAAATAGAAGCCATTTGGGCTGACCTACTTAAATTCATAGTCAGAGGAAATGTATACATAGCTACAGGCCTCCCCACTCTGTTCTTCCAAGTGGGGTGCCCATGCTCCTCTTCAAGTCCAGCCTCTCTTCCTGGATCCTTTGCCCTCCAACCACTTCTCCCCTCTGTGTCAGTAGCCTCTCCATTTTTCTTTCTCTCTTCTTTTTGGAGTATAGCATAGAAATATGGGGATGTGTCCATTTCTCAGAAACAAAATCTCTTTTTTTGTTTCTTACAAGGTATTTTAACTGCCCTTCATCTCTCTCCTACCCAACAAACCAAACTTCATTTCCTTAATTCATATCATTCCTTCAATTATTGTCTCCTGGCTTTTTGAATCCACTGTGGTGGTGGCACCAGGGATAGACAGACATAATCTCCATAAGCCCCCTCAACTCTTTCTCAGGAGGAGTGAGAATTTTTCAACCTCAAGTTAAGGTTCTGCAAACACAGCATTAAAGCCAAGTTCCCTACCCTCACTTCCACCTAGATGTTACCCTTAAAGCCTTCTTGAGTTAAAAAACCTGAAGCTACTATTACCCATCATTCCTCAACATCATTACCAGTGATTTCTTAATTGTAAGTGCGATGTGTCAGTCTTGGCTTTACCTGAAGTCTCTATAGCATCTGACATGGCTGATGACACCTTCCTTGGACCTCTGTGCTCCCATAGCTTCCTTACACTTTGTCTCCTGGTTCTTTTTGTACCTTGAGTCATCTTTCATGGGACCCTTTCTTGCTTCCCTTATCATTTTCCCATCCCTTGAATATCCTCTTCAAGCTACTTCTCTGTCCCTTCCATATCAAAGGGTTTTATAATATCTCGGTTATATTTTTATAACTCCCTCCTTTATTTATTTTGCAGTTTTTGGCCAGGGCTGGGTTTGAACCCGCTGCCTCTGGTATATGGGGCCGGCACTCTACTCCTTTGAGCCACAGGTGCCGCACAACTCCCTACTTTATTAAGGAAACAATCTTTTCTGACATATCCATATGAATTTGAAATTATCTCAAAGTACATGGAAATTACCTGTGTTTGTCTATAAATTTATTAAATGCTAATGAATGAATACTTATTTTTTTAAGGAGAAAAGGCACACAAATTTATTTAATGCACAGATGTGGGAACCTTCAGAATGAAGGTACAACAATAACAAGGAAATTTTCCATTTTTTTCTTTTTTGAGACAGAGTCTCACTTTGTTGCCCTTAGTAGAGTGCTCTGGTGTCATAGCTCACAGCAACCTCAAACTCTTAGGCTCAACCTCAAACCCTCAGCCTCCTGAGTAGCTGGGACCACTAGCGCCTACCACAATGCCTAGCTATTTTTAGAGATGAGGTCCCATTTTTGCTCAAGCTTGTCTCAAATCTGTGAGCTCAAGCAATCTACCCACCATAGCCTTCCAGAGTGCTAGGATTACAGGAGTGAGCCACGAAGCCGGCCCTGAAATTTTCCATTTTTATGCTTAGGTTCAACAAAACATGGACAGCTGTGTAGAAATATGACAAGAGCCCTACACCCAGGGGGCACACTGAACACCCTCACATTGTGCACATCAGGTAAGATCTGCCAATTGCCCTCCCCCTCCTCCCTCCTCTCTACGTCCCCTCCCTTTCCTTGTATTTCTGTTTTAGAATGAATACTTAGGCCTGGCACTGTGGCTCACACCTATAATCCTAGCATTTTGGGAAGCTGAGGCGGGTAGATTGCCTGAGCTCACAGGTTCGAGATCACCCTGAGCCAGAGTGAGATCTCATCTCTAAAAATAGCCTGGTGTTGGCTTGGCACCTATAGCTCAAGTGGCTAAGGTGCCAGCCACATACACCAGAGCTGGTGGGTTTGGATCCAGCCCGGGCCCACCAAACAACAATAACAGCTAACAACCAAAAAAGAGCCAGGCATTGTGGTGGGCACCTGTGGTCCCAGCTACTTGGGAGACTGAGGCAAGAGAATTGCTTAAGCCAGGAGTAGGAGGTTGCTGTGAGCTGTGATGCCATAGCACTCTACCTAGGGT